ACTGTTACCTTCGAATATACGTAATAGCAAAATCTGATAGTAGCGCATAAAATTAAAGTCAAATGACGAAAAAGAATTTGCAATAACACAATATTAAATGCCGCAGCTGATGCTGAAAATAACTGATATTAAAAATTGAACCTATTCTAATTTGCAATTTTAAATTGTTTGAACGCAATTTTTATAATCTTTATTTTCCTTCATTATCAGGTATCAGCTGCGACATCAAATAATTAGTATATACTTACAAACTCGATCCAAAGAATTAAAATACTTAAAAAAATAAAAAATGTAAGGCCTTGACTGCTTTCAGCATTTTTAAATCCGTCATCAAGTGTATAATGATGAAATAAAATATGACTAAAGATAATTATCGGAATAATGAGTGCTAGAAGATCTACAAAATTAAAAAGATCTGAAAAATATTTTTTTCCATAGTGGTAGAATTGGTTAAATTCAACTACGAGATGATTGTATGATAAATAATAAAATAATATAATGATTGCGAATAATATAATATGTTGAAGTCCACTAGTTATTTGAACATGTGCAATATATGCCCAAGAAATAATTGAATAGGCTAAAAAGTACAAAACAAACGATTGTAGGGTTCTATGCCAATAGGATTTAGAAGAATGCCACATCCAATTCATGACGGCACCAATTGATGGGTTTTCACATAAAATATTAAGACTAATATCCTTAATTATTTTGATAAAGCGACTGTAATCCTGTTCTTCAAGAGTATCAAAAATTAAAAACTTCAGAAAATTTATAAATTTTACTTCGTTTACATCTAACAGAATTCTTTTGTTTGCTGTTGTAAAATTTGGTAAGGGTACCATTCGAAGATCATTAATTTTATCAGAACTGTAGAAATTTAAAGTAAAATTGAATTAATATGTAATAAATAATAACAACAGATTTTAATGTAAATTATTATATTTATACTCAATATCGATCTCTTGTAAATCCAATTCAGAATTTTGTGGAATCAACTGCGTTATAGGTATAAAAACCTTTAATAAACCATCTAATGCAGGTGAAATTTCAAGAAATTCAAAAGAGAATAAATCCAATTGCTTGCAACCAAAGCAAGGATTGTAAAATAACTTTTGGACATAATATTTATAGGATTCTATTTACAGAGGTTAATATTATAAATGATTTATATAATTTGTGTTAATATGATAAATTTTATAGTAAACTAGTTTTCAATTTATTTAACATTGTTACCTTTTTTTTTTTCTTTTCTCTTTTTGCTACGCTTATATAATTTAGATATGATGTTTACAACTCTATTCATTAATCCAATTTTATCATCCTTTTCATCCTCCTTCTTTTCACCACTCTTATATAATTCCGGTATGACATCTGCAACTGTATTCATCCATCCAATATTTTCATTTGCATGTTTAGTATAGTAATCTAAAAAAAGTGCCAGCATAGTACGATCTTCGGCAAGTAAAATGTTAATATAGTACATTTGCGTAAGTTCATCCCGTTTCACCAACAGTTATTTCACCGACTTTAACTCTGACCAACGCAAACCATAAATCAGCTAACCTTAACTATAAATTGGGCCATCCTTAAATGTTGGTAAAATGGTTGTCGGGAAACGATATCTATCGTATTTTCATTTATATGTAGTCAACCCAATTCTAAATATACTAACCTGAAAGTGCGGTACGAATAGTATTTTTTCCACCTGACCAACAAAATTTTTGAGGTATATGA